TAGGAAAAAAAAAAGTTTAGTGTAGTCGTGGTGGGCCCTTAGGAAGGATCGATATATGCTCTATACCATGTGAGAAGGATTTACGAAAGAATGAGTGAGAAAGGATGATTGCACTAGAAAGCATTGGGATACATATAGCAAACCCTAACAGGGTTGTACTCACTACAGAGTACCCCACTGCAGACTAGAGAAACATAATATTCTGACAGAGCACCCCTCAAAGAGGGGAGAGCGAGGAGTGCCACGAGCAGCACCTACAGCGAGGATGTTCTTCTCTACTGCGAGGAGGTGCTTCTCGAAGTCGTCGACAGTGAGAGTGGTGGGGTCTAGCGCCAGGAAGTGGTCCCTGACAGAGCTAAGAGTGTCAGGGAGGCGGGTGACGAGGAAATAGAGAGTGAAGTACATCGGGGGGGGTTTGCGGCGCAGAACTCGGCTGAAAGGGCGGCACGAAAGCGAGAGTCAGTAGCGCGCAGGTGAGAAACTAGGTCCTCAGCAGTGGTGAACGAGGAAAGATCGGGGAACAGGTATGGTAGAATGAGTCGACCTATGGCTGCAGTGGCCGGGGAGGAGTAGCGCGCAACTACAGCGTCGTACAGTGTCTTAGCAGTTCTGTGCTGGCTGAAATGCGCTCGCTCAGTAATTGGCAGGTGGTTCCTAATAGCTAGGCGTGCAGCAGCATCACGAGTCTGCCACTGGGAGCGTTCTAGAGCAGGAGCATCAGCAGCAGGAGTAACGGCAGTGCCAGAGACGTAATCAAACAGGGAAACGCCCTCTTTGGCATCAGTCAGAAGGAACAGCTGGAGATCGTCTAACCACACAGCGAACTCGATGGGACGACCGTCAGGCTCGAATGCTAGAACGTTAGTCGTCGCCATATTGGCTTAAGGCAGGAGGCAGCAGGCAGCAGGCCGCAGGCAGAGGCAGCAGGCAGCAGACAGGAGGCAGTAGGCACCAGGTAGGAGGCAGGCAGCAGAGGCAGGAGGCAGGAGGCTGGGGCAGCAAGCAGCAGGCAGGCGGCAGCAGGCAGCAGGCAGGAGCGGTCTGAGGGCGGCTGCTGGCTGCGTGTGGCGGCTTGCTGCGCGAAGCTGCAGGCTGCGCGTGGCTACGGCAGCGCGCGTGGCTACGGCAGCGCGCGCGGCCGCAGGCTGCGTGCGGCGACGGGCTGCGCGGGCTGCGGGCTACTTGCAGCTGCGGGCTGCGCGTGGCGACAGGCAGCATGCGCGGCTGCAAGCGGCGTGCGGCTGCGGGCTGCGCTGGGCGACGGGCCGCACGTGCGCGGCTGCGGGCTGATCGCTAAGCTGCGGGCTGCGCTGGGCGACGGGCCGCGCTGGCGTGGCCTAACCAGATTGCGCGCGGGCGGCTTAAGGGGCGCACAGGCGGGGCCGAAACGGGCTGCGCGGGCTGCTGAAGCGGCGCACGTGGGAAAAAAAAAAAGGACCGCCCGAGGCGCGCGCGGGCACTAGACAAGGCAGGCAGGTACGGTGGGCCCTAATCCTAGGTCCTAAGGACCTATGCTCTAGATGCCATGTTAGAATCCTAGGCAAAGTTGGTATTGAATGTCGAGAGTGTTGGTACAAAAATGAAACCTAAGGGGTTGTACCACAGTGAGTACCCCACTAAAGCCTATCTAAACTACAACATATAAACATATGTTTGACAATATGGTCCAGTCGGTACGAAACTAGACTGTTGTCCTGGTTGATTAGTAGAACCAGTTACTGCAGCTGCAGCTGTTGTGGCTGCTGATGCCGCTGTTGCTGCGGCTGCTGCCGATGATGCCGCTGCTGCGGTTGTGTGTACGGACTGATTGCTCAGTGGCATGCTGTACATCGGTTGTTGCTGATATTGTTGCTGTTGATGTTGTTGCTGCAGATAAGAATTGTCAGCAACTGGAGACGCTGTTGGGCGTGTTGGGCTCGTAACGGAAGAGCCGTTGTTGGATCGTGGAGAGCCAGACATAGTTTGCAGAGTATGTAGTTGGAAGCTTGTAGAATCCTAAGACGCTCGCAATACCATGTTAGAATTTGAAATGTCTGAATAGGATCGTATACTTAGGATGATAGCTTCCTGTCGTAGCGGAAGTCTTGTATGAGTAAAAGCCAGTTATAGGAGGCTTTGTCTGGACTAATAAAAGCCCATGTAGTGATATGTTTCAGGATCTATGTCTCTGAAATCAGATATATTATAAAATGACAAGCATACAGAATATATAGCTAGAGTAAAGTATCTGTTCGCCTACTGTACTGTATTATTCACGCTATTCCTGTTCTGAAACGGTACATGACTCTTCGCGAGACCTATAGCTACGTGCTGACGTCATCCTAGAGCGCGTAGTGCTTTGCTGACGTTAGCCTATTGGTACTTTACTATTACGTGCGAAGTCTCGCACTGTACTAACTGTACTACACGAATTCCTTGATGTGCTTAAGTCTCGATATTATCTCAACAACGCGAAGGTCAAAGGTCAGACCTTTGACTTGACGAAACGTACAGTGCGACAGCAAGGATACATAACTGACTCGTTACGGAGCAGTTACCCGAGTCGGCACTGTATCGAACCGCAACAGCAAAACAATTAAAAGTAGGACCTTTCATATTCCTTGTAATCATATAAAAGCCATGTATTTCCCTGTTATCAATCAACTTATCTTGTTCTCACACACTAGTACAAGGTGGTTCAAGCAGCCTTCATTAAACGCTTCCGCAAATACAACATCTCTACGTCAACACCTGATCTTAGTCCTGAAAGATCCTAAGGGCTTTTCTCAGCCCAACAACGGGGCTTCGCCAACTTCGCGCGCACTGTTTCACCAAACCTCGCACTGCTGGAGCAGCCGATTCGGCCTACGCTTCGGGACTAGCCCGAACCTCACGCCAGCGTTGCACTAGCTAGCTCGCACGCACCGCGTTACCGTTTGCACATTTTCGCGTATAAGTATTCGCTCATGCATTTGCTCATATTTTGTACTCATTGAACACTCTAGTGCAATCCTCGCTACCTCGATTCATTGCACCCGTAACACTTTCCAACCTGCCTCCCTTTATTTCCGTAATTTATGCTTCTCGATACGGCGCCCGCCACAAGAGGACAACGGAACAACGGTGCCTGGAACTTGAGTTTGGCGGGAAAACCGCCATGAACCGTTCCCACCAAACCTACCTGCAACGGTAATTCGGAGCAACAGGTGCACACCACCCCTGAATGGCGCGGGCTTTTGAACCACCTTTCCGTTCGGAACTCCTTGCCAAGTGGTCCAGGGCCTCCCGAAGCACCAAGAGGAAATCAGAAACCAAACCGAACCTCTCACTGCTTCCTCTGTGTGGTTGGTTGCTGCATCCGTGTCGCTTTGTATTGGGCTTGGCAGGCCAAGCCGCCTGCCCCTTTCCTGACAAGGACATATGGGAGCTCTCCCAGGGCTGGCGGGTGTTTCTCACACCAAGCAGCAAATCTGCAAGGCGCGGGCAGGCAGTCTCTGTGGGTTATTGCAAACGGACGTTCCTACGGGCTGGCCACCTGCAAAACTAGCTTCTCTCCTGCCCGAGTTTAGCTTGTGTTCAGAGCAGGCTCTGGTCATCTCCTTGGCAAGCCAGCACCTTGGGCTTCCCTCGCAGTTGCCAGGTGCTGCTGCTGCTGCTGCTGCTGCTGCTGCTGCTGCTGGTGGTGGCTTGTTTGGGGGTGACGGACCCCTCTTGAAAGTCCCTGACGTACTCTTAGCTACAGTGTCTAACTTGAGCTTTGCAGGACTTGACGGTATATTTTTCCTGTCAGACGCGTGACTTCCACCAAGCAGCTGTGAGAAGAGCGATGCACTAAGACTGACTGCGGAGCTTGACGCTGCTTGCCAAATTAAATTAATTCTGCCTGTTCTCGGTTGTTACTTAGTCGCGACGTTTGTCCAGCTGACAGAATACTCGGCTGCATTTGTATACTTACCTCACCAGCGAAAACTAACCTGGTTCCACGAATAATTACATCGGTAGGCAATCCAGGTAAAAGTTAGTTACCGATTACTAGCGAGATAGATACGATTCTTGTTAGTAAGTAGTTGAAATTATTTTATACCCGACCAAGACATGCGATAATGGCGGATAACCGTCCTTACATGCCTAGCGCGGCAGGTGCGTCAGGAGATCACGATACGCTGACCAGCTATCCCGAGCCTCATGGCAGCGGAGCTCCGCAGAGCAGCGGGGGGTACGAGATAGGCCATTCCAGCGGCGTTCCGCTCGACAAGGAGGACGTTCTCAGGACGCTGCCTCCCGTGACTGGGTGAGTGCGGCTTCACATTAGTGCGAACCGTTACTAGGGTACCGAAGCCAGAGTACAGCTGATTGCTTTTCGCACGACCGCTACGTGACAGCTCAGTCCGAGTCGTCGCGGCAAGGCCAATCCGTTGTGAAGCAGATGCCTGATGCTGGCTTTCGGAAGCTCGTCCGTTCACGCTCCCGCCGCTGCTCATTCCTCTGTCTTCCGTGCTCCCCTCTGCTTCTCCTGCAGCCCTACGGGCGGACCCACCCGCCGGTCGTCAAGAGGTGGTTGGACCGCCGAGGAGGTATGCACCCTCGCAGCCGTACCCTCCACCTCGCACCCTACCCTCGCATCGATACCACTTCGATTTCACTAAGCAGTTGGCGTAGGCAGCCTGTACGCTTCGGCCGGGGAAGGCCAGAAACTATTCCGAACACCATCGAGTCTGCTTCTTCGGCGGTTTCCTTTGTTCCTTACAGCTCATGTTTTTAAGAAAAAAATGCTTCTCAGTCCCTTGACTGTTTCGTGTGCGGGCAAAGTCATCTCATGGCTGGATAAGACTGACGCTCGCCTCTTCCCCTTCTCCCTTTCTTCCCGTCTTCCTTCGCGTCAGGACGAAATCCTACGGCGAGCAGTGCAATGCTATAAGGGCAAGAACTGGCGTAAAATAGGTGAGCCTTTTTTACGTTTTGTGATGCTAGCGAAAAGTGTGCTGCTCGCAAAGGTGATAGCGTTGGCTTTGCGTAACATCATGTTAACGGCTTGCCTTTGCTTTCGCCTGCGATCCGCTCTCCCCGCCCCCACTTGTCCGGCACCAGCGGAGTTCTTCCCCGACCGCACGGACGTGCAGTGCCTGCACCGATGGCAGAAGGTGCTCAACCCCGACCTCGTCAAGGGACCCTGGACCAAAGAGGTACGCTCTTCGGATCAAGCGGGTGGAGGGCCGGACCAAGCATGTCGGCACGTTGGGTCGAGAGTCAAGGGAAGGGGCCCTTAGTCAAGCTGGGTGGAGCTGGTAGAGTCGTCTCTCAGCGCGCCGACGTGTCTCACTTGCGTCGCGCTCGGGTTTCGGCTGGCCAATGCTGCTGGTCAAGCCTAAACTCAAATTGGGAAAGTCGTTTTACGCAGCAATGTTAGCAACGTCCTAGTACCGACCAGGTCGTCGAACCTCCTCCAATACTCCTGACCGCTCGTGTCTGCCTCGTTTTTCTCCCTTCCTGCCTTGCCCTCGGCGCGGCGCGGCACTGCGCCACCATTAGATCGCTCATCGCTCATCGCTCATCGCTCATCGCTCATCGCTCATCGCACCGCACCTCATCGCGCGCATGCCTCGTGTGTCCGCCGCCCTTTCCGCCCTTCCCCCGTGTCGTGGCAGGAGGACGAGCGCATAACGGAGCTAGTGGCGCAGTACGGCGCCAAGAAGTGGTCGCTCATCGCGCACCACCTGCCGGGGCGCATCGGCAAGCAGTGTCGCGAGCGGTGGCACAACCACCTGAACCCGGGCATCAAGAAGGAGGCGTGGGGCGAGCACGAGGATGTGCAGCTCATCAAGGCGCACAAGCTCTTCGGCAACAAGTGGGCCGAAATCGCCAAGTTCCTGCCCGGCAGGTGCGTGCGCGGTGTGGGAGTGCGTGCGTTTACTTGACGTGTTTGCAGTTGGTCGCGAGGTGTATCCGCCGCTTGTCGCGCGCGCGGGAGGCTGGTTACCTGTCGTGCCTGTGTTCTCCTGCAGGCTCGTCCCGCGGTGTTGGATGAAAGCGCGCCCAACCAGCGCGCACATCCAGTCAGCCCGCGTCTGCGCATGCAGTCAGCGCGCGTCTGCGCATCCGTTTGTGCATTCACTCGCCTTGCCGCCTCCATGCTTCCGTTACTCATCTTGTATGTCCTGCTCCTATTCCCGTTTCGTCCCCTCCCCCGTCGTTCCCCGCGGACCCTTCCCCCTTCCCCCTCGCCCCACCAGGACGGACAACTCCATCAAGAACCACTGGAACAGCTGCATGAAGAAGCGCGCCGAGCTCTGCACTCTCGCGGACCTCCTCGCGCTCCCCCCGTCACCCGGGCTTCCCGAGATCCCCATCTCCGCGGAAGTGCTGCAGGCCGCGCGCGAGGGGAAGCCGCTTCCGCCCATCGGCGGAGACGGCGCGTGCGGGAGCGGGAGCGGGGGAGAGGAGGAGGAGAATGGGGGAGAGGAGGGTGATGACGATGGGGACGCGGAGGAGGGGGCGAGAGGGGCCGAGGGTAAAGGGAAGGGTAAGGGGAAGGAGCGGGCGGGGGAGAGGGAGAACGGCGGGTCGCAGCAGGGGGAGGAGCAGCAGGCGGCGCTGATGGAAGTGGCGGTGGGCATGCCTGCGCTGCCTCGAGGCCAGTTTCAGGGGAATGTTCAGGTGCTTCCGCAGCAGGTGGTGGTGAAGCTAGAGATGATGGAAGAGCAACGTCGGCAGCAACAACGGGAGCAGGAGCAACAGCAACAGCAGCAACACGACCAGCAGCAGCAGCAGCAGCAGCGACCTTGTCCGACTGTGTCTGGCAGTCGTTCAGGCGCGTCGTTGTCCCGTCCCTCACCATCCGACGCTATCTTAAACCCCTCTTGCGCACCTCGCTCCGCCGCCACCCCCAGCCCGACTCAGCCTTCCGCCAGCGCGGGTGCCAGCCCTTCCGCGTCCCCGGAGAAGCACTCCGCCCCCTCCGCGCGCCTCTCCCTTTCCAGAGCACCTGCTGCCCGCCCCGCCCAAGCGCCAGTGGCGAGCGGCCCCAATCCCATGTCCAGTGGCTCACAGAGAGTGAGCGGCGCCCCTCTGCGCGCATGCAGTGCGTCCCAGGCGCCGCCGCAGCCCCAGGCGCAGGCGCAGGCGCAGGGGCAGGCGCAGGCGCAGGGGCAGGGGCAGTCGCAGGTCCAGCCAATGGCGCCGGGCGTGCACCTGACGAGTGGCCGCTGTCGCGTGGGCCCCACCAGCCGCACCATCACGCTGCTGGGCGGCAGACTGCCGTCCGCCCTGGCCTGCTCTCCCGAAGAGAAAGGGCCCCGCCCTGATGGGGATGAGGATGGCGACGGTGGCAGTGGTGCTGGTGCTGACGTGGAACACGGTGGAGTGGCAATGCAGGGCGTGGGGCAGCAGGGTGCCGTGGTGCAGAGTCAGCAGCAAGCTCAGCCGAACGGTCACTACCAGCAGCAGCCACAGCAGCATCAATATCAGCATCATCAACAACAGCAACCACAACTGCAGCGGCAGCAGCCGCAGCTGCAACAACAACAGTCGCAGCTCCAGCAGCAGCAGCAGCCGCTGTGCTCACGTGAACCTCCGCCAGCCAGCAACAATTCCTTTCCGCGCTGCCCGCCTCCCTACAGCGCCCCCGTGCCCCTCTCCATCAACGCGTGCGCTCCTCTCAACTCCGCCGCACCCCTCCGCATGCCCTCAGCGCAGCCCCCAGCCATCGCAAATGCCCCCCGCTGCGCCAGCATGCCCGCCAGCAGCGCCGCGCCCCCCCATCCCCCCACCAGTTCCGCCCCCCCGCTCGCACTGGGCTCCGCGCTTCTGTCTTCTGGTGCGCCCAACAGCAGCGCGCAAGGGGGAAGTGCGGAGCCCAGTCTGCTGCGCATTGCGTGCAGCAGACCGCTGAACGCGCCTGGCGGGATGGGTATGACCCGCAGCAGCAATAGCCAGCCGCAAGCCATGCAGCCGTGGCCGCAGCAGGCCCAGCAGCAGCATCAGAACCAGTCAGGGTTTGCTGCCCCCATGGATAGCTCGCGCTATGCTGCTGCCCCGCCATCCGCCCCCATCTCTGGTCGTCCAGCGCTCACTCTGCCTTCACCAGCCGCCCTCTCTGCTGCCCCTCTTCCCCCTCCAGCTGGCGCCCCTGCTGGTGGTCCCCCCGGCTCTGCCCCTGCGTCCTCGTCCTTCCTGCACCTGCCCTCGCGCCCCGCTCTCACCCTCCCTCAAGCACGGCCGGCGCCCAGCCAGCAGCAGGGGTACCTGCCTCAGCAGCAAGGCCCCATGCAGCACACAGGCTCCACGTGCGCACCGCAGCAGCAGCAGCAGCATCAGCATCAGCAGCATCAGCAGCGCCAGCAGCCGCCGTCACAGCCTATGTACTACCAAAGCCAAGGACAGCAAGTACAGCAACCATTTCAGCCACCGCAGCAGCAGCAGCAGCAGCAGCAGCAGCAGCAGCAGCAGCAGCAGCAGCAGCAGCAGCAGCAGCCACCGCAGCAGCAGCAGCGGTATCAGAGCAGGCCAATGCCACCATGGCAGCAGCGGGGCCTCCAGATGCCATCCTGCCCTCCCCCTCCTCCTCCTCACGCCCCTCCACCACACTCCATCATCGACCCCTCTTCCTCCGCCTACGCGCCCACACCCGCCCGCTCACCACCACCACCGCCACCAGCTTCGGCTGCCTTCGCTACCGGCCCCACGCAGCCCCAGTACAGCCAGCAGCCCCGTTGCCGCTGCCCCATGCCCCACCCTGCCTGCACTCCCTGCCCCCCTCCTCCTCCTGCTCCTGGCCCTGCTTCTGCTGCCCGCGCTGCTCTCTCCTTGCCGTCGGCATACTCCACGGGTCCACTGCACATGCATCAGCAGCAACAGCAGCCGCAACAGCAGCAGCAACAGCAGCAACAGCAACAGCAGCAACAGCAGCAGCAACAGCAGCAACAGCAACAGCAGCATCAACAGCAACAACGGCGACCTGTTTACATGCCACCTCAAACCGCACCGCCAGTCCCAGCACCAGCATCAGCACCAGCATCAGCAGCACCAGCAGCAACAGCTGCAGCAGCAGCACCATCCCTGTTGTCCGTGCCTCTTATGCCCACTCAGACACCAGCAGCAGCACCAGTGGCACCAGCATTATCAGCACCACCAGCATCAGCCTCAACAGCAGCAGCAGCAGGACCACCTCGAGTTGCCACTGCTGCAAACACTCCCTCTCCGCCCCCTCTTGCTATGCTAGCAGACACCAAACCCCAAATCCTCTCAGGCAGCCGAAACGCTGTAACGGGTGGCAGCAATGCTGTTCCAGGCGGTACCACGTTGGCAGGCGACGCTGCAGCACAAGGGCGCGCAGCAAGCCGTGCAGGCGGAGCCTGGGAGTCCAGGGCGGAAGTGAAGGCGGAGAGTGACGGCATGCGAGGGCGCGAGGGGGCGGAGGAGGAGGCGGCAGCGGTGCAGCGGCTGCTGAGTCTGGACGGGGCGGCAGCAGAGCCGCTGTTCCAAGCAGCGGAGCAGGCAGTGCATGAGTACCATGCGACTCAGGGCTTCCAGGGCAGTCAGGGCGGCCTTGCATGCGAGGCTGGATCCGCGGTGACTGATGCAGGAGCGACTGGCTCCACCACCACTGCCGCCGCCGCTGCTGCTGCCGCTGCTGCGGATACTCCCACTCCTGCGTCTGCTGCGGCGGTTGCAGCAGCAGCAGCAGCAGTGCCGGGGCCGGTGACGGTGGAGAGGGCAGTGGAGAGGACAGTGGACGATTCGCTCTTCTACGTGCCGCCGCAGCTGGACCACCTCGATGCTGCGCCCTCCACTGCTGTCTCCTCCGCGCCCCCTCCTCTCGTGCCCCTGCCCCCCCTCTTCGACTCGTTCCTCCTCAGCCCCACCACCGGCCCCGCCCTGCCTGCCTCACCGCAAATCACCGCTCTCAACCTCCCCTCCTCTGCCGCGCAGCCCTTCTCCTCGCCTCTCGGCCTGCGCCAGATGCTACCTCCCCTGCCGTCCACCGGCTGCCAGACCCCCAGGCAGATGCAGCCTGCCCCGTCCACTGCTGGCTGTCAGACGCCAGTGAACGCCATCTTCTCAGGCCTCTCGCCCTTCCTCTCAGGCCGCAGCCCCCCCTCGTGTGCTGCCTCGCTGTCCATGTCGTGCCTGCTGCTCAGTGCTGGCCGCTCCCTGGATGGCCCCCCTTCGATTTTCCGCAAGCGCAGGAGGGTGGTTGAGGTCACTGCCAACGCTGCTGCTGCCACGCCTCCACCTGCTTCTCGTGCTGCGGCCGCGGCTGATAGTGCTGCAGCTGTCGCTGATGCTGATGGGGCTACTGTAGGTGGCGGAAAGGGCGGGGAGGAGCGGGGGGAGAAGGGAAAGGAGGGTGGGAGAGAGGCGGAGGGAGTGTTGGAATCGGGACGGGTGCTGGCTCTGCTGAGGGAGCAGCCCGAGGGGCTGGGCAGTGCACAACGCAGAGCCGGGCCAGCGTGTGCAGAGGAGGGCCCCACTGTAGGTGGGGCTGGCGAAGGTGGTGTCGCTAAGGGGAGTGATGCAGGCGATGGTGACAGTGACGGGCGTGATAAGGGTGGGCTGCTTCTGCGGATGGGCAATGGTGCTGATAGTAAGGATGGTGGCAGCGAGAATGAGAAGGGGAGTGAGAGTGATGTTAAGTTCGGGAATGAGAAAGGGAGGGGCGGTGAGGGGCTGCGGCGTGAGAAATCGAGCGAATGTGGCCTGGATCGCGAGAGCAGCCCGCAGAGGAGTGTGAAGTGTGAACGCCCCCCGTGCAGGCGGGCAGCTGTGAAGGATGGCCGTGCAACCAACCTGGGGGAGAAGGAGAAGGAGCAGAAGGAGGAGGAGGAGGAGGAGGTGGAGGAGGAGGAGGTGGAGGAGGAAGTGGAAGTGGAGGAAAAGGAGGGAAAAGACGAGGGACCGGTAAAGGAGCAGCAGGAGGAGGAGCAGGAAGCGCAGGAGGAGGAAGAGCAGGAGGATCCGGCTGATTTTGCGCTGCCTGCAGCTGCCATTGACGGCGAGGGCGGGGAGGGCGGCGCTCACTGTGGGCCGGTGACGTGGACGCTGACCCGTGGCAAGAGCGTGAGCCCCGAGGGCAAGAAGCGCGCACGTGAGGGCGAGGAGGATGGGGTGCAGGCAGGGGCGAGGGGAGGAGGCGGCATGGGAGGAGCAAGGGCGGAAGGGAGAGTGTCTCCGAGGAAGCAGCTGAAGCTGGATGGGCAAGTTGTGATGGTGGCTGCTTCTGCTGGCGCTGCTGGTGCTTCTGGTGCTGGCAGTGGGGCCCTGCCCCTGAGCCGTGTGCTGCATTTGGAGCTGGATGCGGCTGCTGACACCCACATGCATGATGCCATGCATGGCAGCAAACCCAGTCATGAGCTCACCACGCCGCACTCAAAGAAGCAGGAGCAGCAGGGTGCATCCTTGAGCAAGCCGCTCTCCTCGTCCTCCACTCTCCCGTCCCCTCCGCTCTGTGTTTCTGCCTCGTCCACTCAAGACGTCTCGTCCCCGTCATCCCTCGTGCCCGTGCCCTCCACAGACACCCCCTCTACCGACTCTCCTGCTGCCACTGCTGCTGCTACAGCAGCACCACCATTACCAGCTTCACTAGCAACATTGGGAGTGGTGGGGCGATCGCGTCTGGGTACAGTTCCTGTGGTGGCCTCTCCTAGAGTGGGTCCGCTGCGGTCAGGAGTGGTGGAGAATGGTGAGAAGGTGGGGGCAACGGAGGAGGGGAGTGCAGGCGGGGAGAAGGAGCGGCAAGAGAGCAAGTGTGTGCAGGGCACTGGTGCGAGCGGTGCAGACAGCAAGCCGTGTGACTCTTCTGACACTGCTGTAGCTGCTGCAGTGAAGGTTGGGACCAAGGCAGGCAGCACCACAGCAGCAGGCTCACACAAGGGCCCGGCCCTGAAGGCACAGACGAGGAGGCTCATCCGCAAGGTGCTGCCTGGGGGAGGCGTTGACTGGCAGGTGGCGGCTGTCGGGCCTGGGCTCGCCAGCCTCAGGGGCATTCTGCAGGCTGCCTCCGGTGCACCACCGCCCCTCACAGGAGCCCTGCCCTCGCACATACGCACAGGCACTGCTGGAGGCACAGGGGCAGCAGCAGCAGGAACAGCAACAGCAGTGGCGGTCCCTGCAGGGCCTTTTGGATTCGGGCGCCTGCTGTCCTCTGCAGCAGCTGCAGCAGCAGCTAAGGCTCGACCCGCACCAAGGGAGCTTTGCTCGCCGGAGCTGGCAGGTTCAGGTGCGAGCGTGAGCTACTCAGGGTGCTACAGCAGCTGCAGCGGCAGCCAGTCGTGCATGAGCGGGGCGCTGTCCCCCTCAGTGACACCAGCGACCTCCCCTCCTGCGGCAGCCCTGATGGCCGCCACGAGCACCATGGCCTCTGCCACTGTCACGTCTGCTGCTGCTGCTGCACCGCCTCCGCCCCTGCAGATGCCCTCACCTGCACAGCCCCAACTGCCCCTTGTGCATGGGAAGGGAAGAAGCAGGGCCGGTAGTGCGAGGGTGGCCCTGACTGCTGCTGGTAGCAGTGGCGGTGGCACTGCTGCTGGTACTGCTGCCAGTGGTGCTGAGTGTGCGTCTGCAGAGGCTGGTGATGTGGCAGTAGCAGAGGTTGGTGAGACTATGGCTGTGGGGGGCTCACGTGCTGCCGATGGCCATACTGCTGCTTCTGCAGCACCTGATGCGACACCTGATGCATGTGGTGGCAATGGCAAGGAGGAGGTTGAGCCTCTTGAGTGTGCTGAGGCAGTGAGTGACGTGGACGCAGCAGTGCCAGCAGAAGGCAAGCCATGCACGGCACTGCCATCACCACAAGCGCCACAGCACAAGGCACCGGCACCACACAACGCCTCCACGTCTCCACCTCGCCCGCTGAAGCGCCCCTTCTCTGCTGCTGACCCACCAGCTGATTCCAGTGCTGCTGCTTGTGGCTCTACAGGCGCTGCTGCTGGTGCTGCTGAGGGTGGCGCCGGTGGTGGTGGAGCGAATGGCGGAGAGGCAGGCTCAACAGCGGGGGGAGGAGGGGAGGCGGGTTCAGAGAGGAAGGTGAGGCGGGTGCGACCGCCGCTGCACCGGTGTGTGGGCAAGCCACAGCAGCAGGCGCAGGCGCAGGGGGAGGGAGAGGGAGAGGGTGGAGAGGCGGAGGGAGAGGCAGCAGGCGGCTGTGCTGGCGTTCTGTCCCCACCCCCTCTCAAGCGCGTGGCAGCAGTGCGCGCACCAGCAGCAACAGGGGAGGGGCAGGGGAACAGCTTGGGCCGAGCAGAGGCAGTGGGGGGTAATGGAGGATCTACTGTGGTGGGAGGGGGTGAGGGGGCAGCAGGGTCGGAGGGGCAGTGGGTGCTGCAGGAGGTGGGGGTGGAGGGGTCGCTCTTCTCCCCAACGCCCTCGCGTGCGGGCATGGCGGGAGTGGCATCATCACTCGCCTCACCCATGTCGCCCTTCACCGCACGCTGGCTCTCGGTACGTTGCTCCCTTGCTCAACCCCTCTGCTTCGCACTCATTTCCTCCCTTTCCCCGCCTCCCTTTTCTCTCCTTCATCTACTATCCCTCCCATACTGCTACCACGCTGTTCTCCACTGCTCTTGCCTTCTGCCTGGCCCACTGCCCTTGACTCATCCATCTTGCCTGTCCCACTGCTCTCCCCGCCCCTGCCTTCCCCCCCGCTCCTTCCAGCCTGTGAGGCCGCAAGCACTGGCATCGCTGGACGTCTTCCGCTGCAGCACGCCTGCATCGATGCGCAAGGCGGGCTTTGCACGCTCCCATGCGCACTCACACGCCAACACGCACGCGCCCATGGTGGATGGTGACGCTGCTGACTGTGACCTGGCAGCGGGCACTGGGCTCAGCAAGACCACATGGGGCGAGCCTATCAGCCCTGCCAGCTACCTGCTGCGCGAGTACCGATGACACACACTGCAGTCGTTACTACAGAATATTACGCATGGTTATTACATGGGATGTGATAGTCTAACTTAACCGCATTTAGTTGAGTAGTTTGACTTGGTAGTGCAGATACCGTACGTTAGACAGGAACAGAAAGGGCCTCACTTTCTTGTTCCGCATACAGGTATGGATTGACGAGTACATCCCAATAGTACAGTATTATCTTGGCCAATATGTACTGTATACTTGTGATGCGTTGCTCTAATATTTGAAATTTGCTTTTAAGAGTAGTGTTGTAAGGAAAATTCCTTTTCCTTCGCGTCCCTGCTCAGCGCGTACACCACTGTTCCCGCCAACAGCACCCCACAATAATCCGTTACCACTCGCGACATTCGCCTCGACCCCATTCCCGCCACTCAGGGCCTCAGATTCGTTTTGGCCTAGGCTGAATCGTCAGCCTTAGGAGTGAGCTGAAGGCTGATCAATCAGGGTAGCCTTGAAAAAAAAAGCTGAAATTTCAGTGTTTAGTTTAGTTAAATGGCTGATCATTCAGCCTTGCTTAAAAAGAAAGGCTGAACATAACTTCAAGCTTTCCTATAGCGCAACCCATTCATTCAATTTCAAAGTGTGGCATTTAGAAAAGGGCATGCGACGTGCTTCCAACAGTGCACATGACGTGCCTACAACTTCATACACGAAGATACCTTCTGTCGGCGACAACAGTGCGCGCGGCATGGTGAATCCGAGCTGTTGAGATAATGTCGAGACTTATGCACTTCAAGGAATTCGTATAGTTAGTACAGTAAAAGTACCGATAGACTGACGTCAGCAAAGCGCTACGCGCCTTAGGATGACGTCATCAGTAGCTGTAGGTATCGCGAATAGTCACGTACCTTTTCAGAACAGGAACAGCGCGAATAAATACAGCACAGTAGGCGAACAGATACTTTAGTCTAGTTATATATTATGTATGCTTGTCATTTCATAATATACTTGATTTCAGAGACCTTTGATCCTGTTACAAGTCACTCATATAAAGACTTCCACTGCTACAGGAAGCTACTATCCTAAGACTACGATCCTATTCAAACAGTTCAGATTCTAACATGGTATGAGAGCAACTTAGGATTAAAACAGCTTCCATCTGCCTATTCTACAACTATGTCTGGATCTCCAAGGTCCAACAATGGCTCTTCTGTTACGAGCCTATCACGCCCAACTGCGTCTCCAGCTGCTGATAATTCACATCTGCAGCAACAACAACAATATCAGCAACAACCGATGTACGGCATGCCATTGAGCAGTCAGCCCGTACACACAACTACAGCAGCGGCATCATCGACAGCAGCCGCCGCGACAGCAGCATCAGCAGCCTCAACAGCTGCAGCTGCAGTCCCTGGTTCTTCAAGTCAACCGGGACAACAGTCTAACTTCGTTCCGACTGGACCTTACCAATATCAAGGTGCTTACCAACCAGCAAATCTTCAACAACGTGTTAATGCTGCCGTCTTGTCGCTTAACCAGATGTTTCCAACTCCGATGAGCATTGATGGCTCCAGTTATCAGCGTGGTCAGATGCCACAAGGAAGTGATGGGTCGAACAACTCTTTCTCCTTTGGTCCTGCTGGACAAGGACAACAAACACAACAAGGGTCACAAGCGCCATCACTCTATCAGCTACAATCAGCTGACGGTACCGGAAGTTATATTCCTGCTTTTGCAAATCCTACAAAAATCAAAACGACAATGCCTTTTAACGGTCAAGATTTTTATACCTGGAGCTTTGAGTTTGAGCTTCTTGTTCAGACCGCGGGGTTCTGGCAGCTGTATGACGGCACAGCACCATTTCCATCATACGGGTCACCACTTCAACAAGCCACTTTTCGATCGGCGTCGCTGACTGCATACACAGTTCTCGTTCGTAATCTGACTCCGACTGAACAGCTCGAAATTCGTTCTTTTCGTAACAGTGTCGCTCCCGCTGAAGCAGCTTGATTATACATGCAAGGGGTTCACATGGCAAAAGATACTGTCAACCAGAGTAAAATTTTGACGCAGCTGTCAAATATACAGATGATAAACGGCGGGAAGGTGACGCAGTATATTAACCGCGCTCGAAATCTACGCGATCAACTTCAGAAGTGTGGAGGGTACTTCCCCGACGTTATGTTCCACACGGTGCTACTTGCGGGTCTTGGACCAGAATGGCGACAGTGTCGCTCTATACTTCGGATGCAAGCACAGTTGTCCGAGGGGGCACTCTGTGCCGCTCTCATCGCCGAGCAGCAGGATATGGATCTGCACAACGCTCGAGGAGGGAAAAAGATGGTAAACAATACAGTCAGTTTTTATTCTAATCCACGTCACAAGCCCGTTTGTTATTTTTGTCGAAAACCAGGACACACTATTGATACCTGCTGGTCGAAAGACAAACCATCTTGGAAGCGGTCTGCTTGGAAACATAATAAAGATTCTTCAAGTGAAGCAGAGAAGCCGGAAGCAGAGAAGCCGAACGCTGAGAAGCAGAATACTGCGAAGCTGAACTCTGCGAAGCCGACTACTGCACCTGCCAAGACACAAACAAAAGCAGTTATTAATTGCATGACATCAGTGTCAACGGTTTATGATCCTGATGCTGAAGAGCGGATTCACAACCGGTTCAAGAACGAACTCAACACACCGATTCCACCTGAGGTCTATGCAAATCTTGCACATACCATTGCAGATCCCAATACTTGGTACCTCGACAGTTGCTGCGGTCAGCACATGTGTTCGTCAGAGACGCGTTTCATTGTGAATCAACGCCGTCTGGAGAATCCCGTTGTCGTCACGGTCGCCAATAACCAACGACTTACAGCTCACTGGATGGGAAGTATTGTTCTGGACTCAGTTGAAGAAGACTTCAGTCTTCACCTGAACGAAGTTCTTCTGGTCCCTCGGCTTGGCTTCAACCTCATGTCATCTGCACAGCTTATGAAGAACGGGATTACACTTCTCGGTGAACCTGGGAAATTCACTCTGAAGTACGGCGACAAGAAACTCGGCACGGCAGTTGAGCAAAATGGTGTTTTCGTTTTGAACTTCATACCTGAGCGCACTACTGCCGACTCTGATAACATTCTCTCGCTTGGTCCTTGGGAGCATCATGATGATATTGATTACACCGACGATACAGTTCCACGTGAGGGAGTTGTCCCGACGTCTTCAACCACGGCTGCCTCCGTCATGTTGACCTTTGACGATCAAGGCTTGAATGATGTTGAGAACTCTCGGGAGTACATGGCTGCAGTTGAAGGTTGGGGTGATCCGACGAACATGCCGACTGATGACGGCATCTGGGGGGCTGACGAACCTGATGAAACAACTTGGGGCGAGACACCTGCTGAACGCGATGCTCGTCTTCTCGCTGAAGCTGAACAACGTGTCGCTGAAATGGAGATTCTTGACTCGGGTCCTCTCGTTTGAGTTGAACCTGTACCTGCAGCATCCGATCAAGAAAGCGGTGAGTTAGTACTTGCTCCAGGCGAGTACGTGGATGTTGAGGTTCGTGTTCCACCACCAAATCTTACTCGTTACGTCGCACCTGCTTTCGATCAGATCCGCTCCGATGGTCATCAACTTCTGTTGTCGTTCTTCGCTAACGCCGAGTATTACCTGCGCGCACAAGGTCACAAAGCCACGGGAGAAACATGGCATAAACGACTTGGTCATCCGTCGCAGTTTACGCTAAACAACACGATCAAGGCTGCAGTGCTTGACAAAAATTCGTTACTCTTACCGAACGGTCTCGAACTGAAGCCGGTGAATCGCCCGGCACCCTGCACCATCTGCCCTGCGGCAAACCTACCGCACGAGCCGTTCCCGACTCATTTCCCTGGAGCTGACGATTATCAACTGATGGATAAGGTTTACAGCGATATACTTAACTTACCTGAGGATGGTTTCAACGGCGAACGCTACGTTATCACATTTACAGACGCTTCTACTCGTTACGTTTGGACTGGAAACATGACTAACCGTTTTCTTGCGTTTACAGCTTTTCGCACCTGGCTTCCTCTCGCCGAACGAGAGTCTGATACTAAGCTCAAGGCATTTCAGTGTGACGGCGCCGGCGAGTATCGCAGTACTGAGTTCACGGCCTATCTGCAAAAACGCGGGATAAGACGACTTTTTTCGTTGCCTCACGCTCATCAGCAGAGTGGCGTAGCAGAGAGGCTCAATAGGACTCTGCAAGAGAAGATGCGAGCCCTTCTTGCCCAGGCTCAACTCGGCCCACTCTACTGGCCTTTCTGTCAGATTTATATGACATAGCTGCTGTAGGCTATAGTGGGGTAGCACATATGGGGTACAGTTTTCTAGGGTTTGTACTTGTACCCAACTTTCCCTTAGTCAACATCATTCCTCGTAATTTCTCATGGTATAGAGCGGGTTCCCTCGTGGGAACGCTTCCTAGGGCCCACCAATCGAATTTTTTTTTTCTGCCCGGAGCGCGCTTCGCTCCTGCCCGAGTCGCGCCCCGCGTGCCCTCCCTACCGTCGCGCCCTCTCTAGGCCCCTTACGGTCCCTTCGCGTCGCCCTCAGCGACCCCTCTGACGGCCCTTCCAGCCGCCCTTACGGCCCCTCGTGCCGCCCTCACGGCCCCTCGCGCCGCCCTTCCGGCCCCTCGCGCCGCCCTTACGGCCCCCTACGGCCCGTCGCCGCCCTTCGCGGCCCCTTGCGCCGCCCTTCACGGCCCGTCGCCGCCCTCCGCGGCCCCTCGCGCTACCCTTACGGCCCGTCGCTACCCTCCACGGCCCCTCGTTCCGCCCTTCACGGCCCGTCCGCCGCCCTTCGCGGCCTCTCTCGGCCTGCCGTCGCCGCCTCTACAGCAGCAGCAGCCGCAGTCGCTACAGCGGCCGCCGCCGTCCCTGCAGGAGCGGCCGCCGCCGCCCCTGCAGCAGCAACTGCCGCCGCCGCTGCAGCAGCGGCCGCCGCCGTCCTGTGAGCAGCAGCCGCCGCTGCCCCTGCAGCAGCCGAGCCGCCCG